GGCCTAGACAGCGGGGAAAAGCGGGAGCCACTTTTACTCATTTGGTTGCAAGAGGCTTCAGCCGTCTTGGGGGTTAGGCAGCAGGGAAAACCGGGACCCACTTTTGTTTCTCATTTCTGCACGCGAGGCTTTCAAAAAGCGGGCTCCCATCCTGGGGCTTTCTAGGGCCGGGGCCTAGACAGCGGGGAAAAGCGGCAGCCCACTTCTCCATCAGTTTGTTGCACGAAGGTCCTAAAATTGCGGCAGCTGCCTGACAAGCCGCTGCGGCCTCCAAATGCTGCTCAGAGCGGCCGCGGTCATTCTGACAAAAGGCCTCCATGTCTCACCTAGGGTGACTGAGCTGCAGTATAAGGGCACTGCGCAGGGCAATCGTGTTATCCACCTTGGAATTCTTCAGCAGGCGTCTGTGTTGCGCAGCAAGCAGTTGGGGACAGCATAGCGCATAGGTGCGTGCAAGTGCTTCTGAAGAAACAATGTCCAACTGCTGGTTACCTTTTTCTTGTTCCAACTGGAGCACTGTTTACCAGTATATGGTCCAGGCAGCGCGCGTAGTCGACGATGATTACGATGACCCTTACTTGGACGAGGCGCCGCAACCTGCTCACTTGACTGCTACAAATCCCTAAAGTCAGGAATTCAGACTAAATCTTGGTTGAATTTCCGCGTCAAGCTGACATCTTCGAACATAAATGTCGGAGCAGCGTCTAGGGTTGATTTCCGAGCTCTTTTGTGCCTCCAGGCTGCTTCAGGCTTGGCGTCCACTGACCACCTGACAGATCGAGCACGGTGCCCACTCTGCCTTCAAGGACCTGGGTGTAACCGCAAGCAGGAAACTCAGGTGGAGCATGTGGAGAGTGGAGAGGTTGTCAGCCACGCGCCGCCATCTCCAACTCATCTCAGTCAGGCGCATGGCCATCCTCCAACAATCCCGCTGTCGTCGTCAGAAGAGAACCTTCTCAGCAAGGTTGGCAATGAGAATGGCAAGCCAACCCTTGCGTGTGTCTTCGCTATCCAGGACCCTGTTATCTTTGAGGGCCAGCCGCACGAGGTTAGCTGCAACCTTCACCTGCCCCACAACTAGCGCACGCAGGAGTTGCGAACTCCCCCGCATCAAATCTGCAGATCCCGGTCTTCCCCTAACGTGGCTCGTATATTTTTGGCACCTGCATGCTGCCGAGTCTGCCTTTAGGCGGTAACCCAAGCCAATGAGGCTATGGCGCCGCAACTTCGCGCACGCACGGGATCTCAAGCCCGCGCGCCAAAGCTTTGAAAACACAGCGCAGCCTCTCATGGTTCCTGGGCAGGGCACAGAGTCGCGCCGCTTCAAGCTCTTGCAAGAGTCGCCTTCCGATCTCCATCAACAGCGCGGCACTGGTTTTGTGAAGCACTCTCGGTGATGTGCTCCCACAGGCTCTCTGAAAAACATTTGTCTGGTGTGTCTTGGAGCTTTTGCTGCACAGATGGAAAACAAGATCATAGCGCTTACGCGCAACAAAACTTATTTTCAGGGCTCTCTTTTGGAGGGCCCTTGTGCTTGAGCTTGCGGCCACACAAGCCCAGTGGTTGGTTCTGCCAGGCCCTGCAAAAGGCAGGGCTGTTTCCAAGCCAAAAGCTTTGGAGGCCTGGATCATCCACTGCGCAAGATCAATGTTGAACCGCTTTACTTCTGCAAAAAAGAAGTTTCTTCTGTTGCTGCCAGGTTGCGGCCAAGGGCAAGGCTGCGGACATGCCCAAGGCCATGAAGGCTCGCGCCTATTAAACTTACAGGTTCTAAGAAATGAGTGCAACTCATGCCTGTACAAAAATATCTCGAGTTTGCTACATAACTTGCAAAGTGGCAAAGTCCTACTGACTTGTGAGAAGATGACATTCAAAACCACCCAGCATCAGTCGAGTCTTCAATTTGCAGCGGACAAGGACAATTCTGCAAAGTCTGACACGGGTGGGGTGGCGGAAATTCACTTTTTGAGAAGTTTGTTCCGTTATCCCTCCAAAGTTGGGTCCCTGGCCAAACCATTGGTTGGCAGCTGCAGCGTTCCAGCTTATGTTTGCCACGCCACTTGCAGTACATACTGTTGATGGAGGAAATCTTGCACCACCTTAAGTCCCTAAAGTCCTAGGAATTACAGTACTTTTGGGGCCCCTAGGTGGTGCAAGATTTCATCCATCAACAGTAGGTCTGAGGCGGGTGAGGGGGGCGGGAGCCCACGTTTTGAGGAATTGGTTCCATAATCTATCCAAAAGGAGGGCTCCCGGCCGACTGTCTGACTCGCCAGCATAAAATTGCAAACACAGGCCTGCAACGAGGCCATCCGTCCATGAAAAAGATTGCTTGCCTGGCAGACGCACTCTGAATGTTGTCTCAGACAAAGACAATCTAAAAATGTTGCCTCACGTCATCTCAACATTTCTCACCCAATGTCACGCGAATATGTCTCACCAAATGTCATGTCTGCCGGCCTCTACCGCATCTCGGGAAGGCCGCCCAAAACTGAACAAGACTAAAAAGTGAGCCAAGGGGTGACGCATTACTGAGTCTGAGTCGTGGTATGTGACATGTGGAGGTTCCTGTCGGTGTACATGATACTCTGTTACGGTAGGTCCTCCCTGTGGACGCGGATGCCAAACAGGGCGCGGAGGGCTGCTGTGAGTCTTGGTTCGAGCTCGTTCGCGGAGGTGGCTGAGCTTGACGTCCGGCCGTGCACCGGGCCTAGCACAGCACGCCCCACCTTTCCGAAGATCTGAGGAAATTGATCTTCCTGCCAGGCGTTGCGCTTGCTCGGGTGAGCAGGCGCCGTCCCACAGAACGCTGCCAATGATGGCGGTGAGCCTGTCGATACGCCTCTGAGTGGCCGCCAGTGCCACGCCATCCTCGCCAATGGTGACCTTATGATGTCCTGCACCACGTGATCTTTGTTTGACACTGGTGCCTTGGACTCCTTGGCGCGCAGGCCTGAAGGTAGAAGACGTCGGCGAAGGAATGGGCGGAGTCGGCCAAGTCGTCCCGTCTGCCTCGCCGTTAAAGTCGTCGACACAACGCCCGCCCAGTAGCCAGGGCTCTAGTTAGTTAGGCGCTGGAGTGTGTCGCCTGCTCGGTTAAAGTCTCCTCGGACTGCTGCGCCTAAACCATAATTCTTGCACTCCACGTTCTCAAGATCCTCTTCAGTACTTCTAACGGGACGCCGAAGCATGCACACTCTTCCTGCAGCAACAGTTTTATTATGAGCGCCTGTGGCCACTTTCAAGTTAGAGTATCGCACGCAAAGTTTGATTTCCAGTCACTTTGCACAGCACAATGCTCACACGTTGCATAATTAAGACAGAAAGTCTTGCCAGAAAACCCACTCGTCCAGCACTGGCGCTGGCACCCCGGGGCCGCAACGCACGAGTGGAGGCACTCCACCTTCCCAGCGTAACAGAAAAGAAAAGACCATCACTGCGTGGCGAAAGCAGCAATGAATTGAAGGCACTCCCAAACTGAAATGATTTCCGCGCCAAAGAGCACCACGCACCCGAGTGCTACGTGGGGGACACAGCCCACGTAAGCCCACATCCCATATGGAAGCCGCCGACCCTGTCTCCAGGTCAGCACCAATATGCTGAGCATTTTGCAAAAGTCGAAGGACCCGTTCACATAGGACAGAGCGAAAAGCGGCCACCTGTACATAACATTGCCCTGAGGGAAAACTGCCCGTGGCAAAGCTTGTCATGGAAAGACAAACGCATTGAAACACGGTATGTAGCAAAAACTGCAGCACTGCGGACAAACTCGTGGCCAGCTCAAAGCCTTTTCCATTCGAGAGATGGCCGCAGCGCGGGGGCTCTTCAATGCTACAACCATATCCATGCCCTGTACCACTGTCCTGCCAAAACTATGCAAAGCTGCTCCATTGCAAACCTGATCTGTAAACCACCACCTCCAACCAGAGTGACGTTGTTAGCCCAAGCCTTGCAAGAAAAGCAAAGGGAAGACCAAACCATGGCTGGCGCAGCGAAAGGAGCAACAAAAGAAAGCTAAGCCAGGCTTTGCTTATTGAGCAATCAAAGTGGAAGCCAACAACAACGAGCATCCGGATGGCACACAAATGGATATCGAATCGTTCGACTTGGCCTCTACAGGATTTGAAGCAGAACTTCAACCAATACCGTTCTGCAAGAATACCTCCCCAACCCTAAATTCTTTTTTACTGGCCCCGCGAGATCACCGCTTCCACCGCTGCAATGCCACCGCAGGCAATACTAGCCCCACGGCTGCGGCGTCGGCCGGGGCGGCCTCCGCCTGCAGCATGTGGCCGCCCAAGGAAGTCATAGTAGGGCTCGATGTCGTGAGGCCGCCGAGCCATAGAGCTCGGCGGCGGCGTAGGTTCGCAACCAACCACAGCTGCGGTCACCATAGGTGGTGATGTTGTGTCGCCAACAGCCGGCTCAGCTGCGGTAGTACTAGACGGTGAAGACGTATCGCCAGTAGCTGCCACCGGTTGCTCTGCCGCAAGGAAGCTGAGGGGAGCCCCTGGTGCGCCCGAGGCGGGCATTGTAGGGGACAACAGCGGGGGTGATGGGTCCACCTGCTTTTGCCTGCCACACTGGTTCGGCGGTGGCCGAAGACGCCGCCCCAACCGTAGACTCAACCGGCAAGGCAGGTTGAGCAAAGGCGCCCAAAAACACCGACCCGAAGCTCAAAGCCTGAGCGCCATCAGGGCCGTCCGCCCCTTCATCCGAGGAGGTCCCGGCCGGTGTAGCGAAATTCAGCACGGCCGCCTTGAGGCGGCGGTACAGCGACCGCTCCCCTCCCGCTAAGGCCGCCTCGAGGGCGGAGGCGAAATTGGGAGTAGAAGCATAGGCCGCCATTGCTCAAAGCTAAAGGCAGTAGAAAAAAAGAAAGACGGTTTGAGCAAATAGTCGTCTGCAGGGATGCCCATTTGCTCTGTGTTACAACGCACACAAGCGTGCTATCACACAAGCCCCGCCAAGCATCATATCCAAGTGATCTGTCAGGGCGCCGAAAAAGAAACGCAATGGACTGGCCCAGGATGGCGTTGCAGAGGACCACCTCTGTTTCCCGCACTTTTCCAGGAGCAGATAAGCAAGACATGCGGTCGTTCATACTGAGCTAGCTACACTCCACGGATACAGCGAGGATGTAAAGCCGGCAAATGGAGTTTGCATGCCCTCACCTGGCATTCGAGGGGGCGTCAACAAAGATACCTGACGTTGATCCTACTGCAAGCAAGGGGCTGTCCATCACAAGCAGTTGAAAAACCGCTGCAACTGCACCGAATCCATAGAGCCAGATATTAGCCTCAACATAACAGCACATGGTAGGCCTGACACACCAAAATGGCGAGGGCCTCTAAGACGTTAGGGCTCCTCTTGATGAGCCACTCATTCAGCACACCTGCCAAGGCGGAGCACCTCAGCAAGCGGGCAAGGTGTTGGCAGCAGAGATGAGAGCACAAAAGGCGCAAGACTGCAATTCTCCACTGATGCACCTTTTTGCCTGATGTGAGCTCGTGTCTCCCACTTTGCTTGATCCCCTGGGTTACTGGCCACGAGACGGCTAGCATGATGCAGACTCCCACGCGCACTTCTCTATCAGCCTCCACCACACTCAGCAACACTCAGATCAGTGGCTCGCAATGCAGAGAGACAAGAGCCTGAGGTGACTCGGCAGCTGTTTCGCCTGCAGCACGGCAGCAAAAAACAGCTGCTTCGCGCAGGAACGCAGGGAGCTTAGACGCTTAGAGGCGCACTGCTTGGAGCCGTTGCCAAGGCCATGCCTAACGCTTTTCACAGCTCCGCTCCGCCGTTCTCGCCGCTTCGCCACTCCGCCGCTCCGCCGCTCCGCCCTGCATCGCCCTGCTCTCTTCTCTCAACTCCGCTGTAGGGCCCACACCGAGGACAAGGAGCACGAGCGCCAGCCTCTTCGAGGGCCAGCAAATCCAAAAAGAGCCACAAAGCCAAGACCCCTCCAAGACCCCTCCAAGACCCCTCCAAGACCCCCCCTAGACCCCTCCAAGCAGGCCAGCACTGCCACTGCAACACTCTCAGCTGTCGTTGCATCACCTTGTCCAGCTTTCAAAAATAAAAAGACTCTAGAATTGAGTGATGCTGCCGGAGTTGCAAGGCGGAAGACAAGTGATGTGGTGAAGAGCTTCATGTTATTCAGCAGCTGGTACTGGGGAGGAGAGATCCTCTGCAAAGCTTCGAACCTGACACCAAGTCTGTCGCATGTGCTGCTTCCAGAAACCTCAAACCTTCTTGAGCGTCAAGCACGAGACGGTTCTGCAAAGTATAGAGAGTGGCAGGGACGGCGTACAGCCATCTCCCTGACAGTGACATGGCGGCGCGTGCCTGGACAGCCAGCCACCAAGCAATGTGCAGGATTGCACATAAGGCCCACACGTCTGGTGGCAGCATCACTGCGGCAAATGCAAGCTTCAACAGCTCGGCCAGAAGAACTGCCACATCTGTGCTGTACCTCCATCCCAAATCTAGTTTGTAGCAAGCACCAGACATGCAGCTCGCATGCGCACGCGACTCGCTTCTTTGAAGCTGTGATGAGCAAGCTGACCATGGACAGCGCTAGCATGAAATCCATCAAAACACATGAAGCGGGTTGACAGGCGCTGCCTCTGAACAGAGTATGACCCCATCAACATGAGCACCTGGCGACAGTCTCACTCTGGGGCTCAAGCAAACTCACTACAGGCCCACCAAAAAGAAGCGGTTGCGAGCCCATCGGTCCACAAAGTTTCGCATCGCCACGCACCATAAGGCTTCTACTGCCAGGACATCCTGCCTTAAACTCCACCCTTCAGCTCAAACTAACCTGCGGCTGCACGGCCCTAAATCAGGGATGGTAAGTGTCTGGACTGGTCTAGTAGCATGCCCTGTTGATTCACAAGCAAGAACTCTGAGCAAAAGTTGTGGAGAGCACTTAGACCTCTGGAGCTTGCATGCAACAGTTTACCACTAAGATTATCGATGCAAAACGAGGCAGTCTGGTGAAGTCATTTCGTCCAATCATGCGCTGGATGCAATGCCGGCAATGCCTCATGACTGCCATGACTTGCGGATCTCCTTCCAGCTGTGGTCGGCTGTGCATCGAACGGAAAGCGATGTCCAAGAAGGAATTGTCCTGAAGGCTGCAGGTACTTTGTCAAGTCTCTAATCTACACGAGGGTGATGAAGCCGGGTAGGTAGTCGTCGCATCGTCCAATCTTGCAACTAACATGGAGAAGCCAAAGCGACAAACTCCTTTGCCAAGATCTTGTCATTTTGCATGGCCCATGACCAGAGCATACGGTGCCGGTCAAAAAATGCCTCACCTGCAGGCGGATGGTCCTTGAAATCATCCATCGTCTTGCCATCAAGGTAGGTGAGCGACCGCCGTAACACCAGCTGCTTATGGTCAGCATGCGTAGGTGTCACTGTTACGCCGGCCGCTCCTTCGCGCTCTGCCCTCTCTTGCAGTATTCCATTCAAAGCAGTCTCCATCACGTCTTGCGCGTTCCGGAACATCTTTGCGATACGTCCTTGCAACGGGGCCTTCCAATTTCTCGGCCACTCCACGGAGCTCAAGACGATGTAGAAGTACTCACCAAGTTCTCTATAGTTCTCTTGCAGCATTACATCCTGCTCTTCTATGCAGGTAACTGTGTTGTACATGAGCGCGCTGAGAACTAGAAGCACTTCATTGTGCCTGAACTGATAGTCCAGGTCCAGGCTAAATTGTGCCCAAAGCAAAGCAAGCCAGCCAATGGCTCGAGGCAAAGCCAGGCCACCCTCCCTCTTCAGCAACTGCAAGGCCTGAAAGGGTAAACCTCTAAGCTAAGTTTGCAATCCTGAAACCTGCTGAAGAAGACGACCTACTCAACCTCATCCGACCTCATCCAGGAGATGGGCCTGCAAGAGTACGGTATCATACTTCTCATTCAAGGCTTGCAGATCCAGCTCCACCAGTTCACACTCACGGAAACGTCGGGAGGTGTGAAGCGTGCTTGACTCAGACTTCTCGGTGGAGGAGGCCACAGACTCTTCCACAGCCAACTTCTCTCTGAGCATCTTCACGTAACCTGGGAAAGCTGGCAACAGCAAAGTGCAAACCAAAGGTAGAAATGCGAAAAGATAACTCACGCCCACAGGTGGGACGAAAGCTTAAAACCAGGGTGCAAACTGGCACCTGCAATTTTTCATGAAGCGGCGGAGCGCGAACGGCCTCCGCGTGCCCAAGAACGGCTGCCAACGTGCCTAAAAAGCTACCGTCTGGCATCCCATACAGCCTCCACTGCCCCCGAAACGGCACCCGGACAGCACATCACAACACACCCCTCGTGATGCCTATTTTCGAGGGCCACCCAAATTTGACCATTTTTTGCACACCCCCTTAGTACAGATCAGCAAAGCTGGGCTAAGACGAAAGTTTATAGGGAAACTATTCTAAAAAAAAACTGTCAGATGTCACTTGCAGCATCTTGATTGGAAAAAGCTCTCTATCCCGTGGACAAGCTGAAGGTGATGGCTTCAAGCTGGAAAGTAAGCTTGACTGCCGAGCTCTTCCTACCACTTGAGCTAGTTGTCCAAGCTCCGATAAGGGAAAATTAGTTGCTCTTTCAAAAGCTAACGGCAGTCTTGGCTTCGCAGAATCTCGGCAAGGAAGGCGAGAATTCGGTTTTCGTCTTCTGGCTGCCAACAGCGTACTGCTCGCTGTGAATCCAAACTGTTCTTAAGCATGTAATGAAAGACTTCCTGCTCCCCGCCAGACTTAAACAAGTAGAGCTCGATGCACATCAAAGCCTCCAAAAGGACTCTGCAAAGGGATGCGGGAGATGTTGGACAGTTGTTACACAGGTGCCTTAAGTCACAATAGATTCCTAACAGATTCGGTCAGAGCACCGGATCATTGAGCTGCTTGCGATGGTTGGGGTCCTGGGAGTGGGGATTGCCTGATGCATCTCCCATCGGCTTCTTTTGATTCCAGTGATGCAAATGCCCACCATACTCTTGAAAGATCGCTTGCGCGTGCTGACAAAGCTCACGGACCTTGACCTGCTCTTGCCAGCTGCCACGCTCATTCTGTAGTGCTCTGTTGTCCGTCTTTATTTCCTCCAACAACTCCGCAGGAATAATTTCGTCAGCTGCCGCACACTCCCGCTGCTGCGATTCTGCTAGCGCCGCTTCCATGTAGACAAGAACATATGCAGAGGACCGGGACTTGGCATTCTGTCCATCGTTCCATGTTTCACCACCGAGAGCAGCTGCCCTGACCTCATCCCAGCTTACAATGGAGACAAAGGAGTCACTGAAGCGCATCCAGCGGTCTTCTCGCCAGTCTTTCAAGAAGGCTACATAGTGACCTGCTTTTGCCTCCGCCTGCTGGCCTTGGTGGACCCAGATTCCAAATAAGTAATATGGCTGTTTCTGCAAGTCCTTAGAATATGCCTCACATAGCTGTCGTTCCAGGGAAGCAAGCTCCCCTTGCAAGCGCTCCTCCTGATTTTGACATGCATCTGCTAAAGCTCGGAGGGTCTGGACCGTCTGCGCTGGGTCCGAAGTCTGCAAGGTCTGAATCCAGTCAGTCTCAGAGTTTGCATCCATTCGACTCGCAATCAGGGCAGAATCGGGGTCGAAAGAGGAGGATTGCGTGGGCTCAGATTTGAGAGCCCGGACGTTGGCTTCCAAGCAACTGGCTGCACTTCGCAGAAGTTCGGTCACGGGAAGAGAGACTTGAGGACAAGCAGTAGCCTTCAGACCATTGAAACTTAAGCACAAACTCACCTGAATCCATTAGAGCGGCCTTTTAGACGGCAGGCCTGATACTGGCGAAAACGCTGCAGGGCAAGCTCCTTCTCAACTTTCCGATTGCGGAGCTGTTGCACCAAGTCCTCAACTTCCAGCACCATCGCCTCGTTCCTGCTGTACCGTGTCAGCATGCTAACACCACATGCATCAAGCGGCTCCTCTGCATGAAACGATCTGGATAAATCGTCGTCTCAAAGTCAAATTCATCTTCGAGCTTGACTTGCTCCTGTCACACTAACATACTTACAGGTTGCAGACCGCCCTCAGTTGTCTTGCAAACGTCCGGCCTTGGTCTCCGGATCAAAGGTTACGCGCTGCAGCTGGAAGAAAAGCAGCTTTGGAAGTCTCCGTATCCACACGCGAGTTTTGCCTTGCGCCTGATGTGATCTTTTGGCAATGACAACAGAAGCACACAGAGACACTGCTGGCACTTCAGGGAAGAGAATGCAAGCAGTTTTGAAGCTGTTGCCTTAGTTCCTGCCGGCGTAGTGTAGTCCACACTTTGCTCATTCGCTGCTGCCCAGGCAGTATACAAATTTCTGTACTTTACATCCAAGAAGATCTGCAGAAAATCGCTCTGCTCTGAACTGGTGATCGGCTCTTTGTCTGGCATTTCATCGGCTTGGCTCGTCGGCGAGCAACCATCCTGACCCTGATCCACATAAGAGAAAATCTGCACCTGCTCTCCGTAAAGAAGCTCGTGAAAAGCCTTCCTGGCACCTTTCGCACTGCGCTCTTCCTCAGGACGTCAAGGATACTCACGGCATGACATCTGTCCGAAGTTTGCATCACAATACTCTACAAATTTCTGAAGAATCCGTCAATACGGCTCCAAATCTGTGCAAATTCTCGAGAAAGGTTGAGAGGGCTTGCAACCCTGGTGCATGCGACTCAGCACGCAGTCCAGTACTGACAGCATGGAGATTCTGAGTGCCCAAGTGCTTCAAAACGTTCTGCATCATATGGGTGGCTGTCAATATTCCGTCTTCCAGGAAGCCCGAATGCTGCAAAAATCATGGTGCCGCCTTATGACGAAAAGGAAAACGAAGGTCTGGAATGATGGCTTTAGCAAATAAAGAAGAGTAGTACTGACTCTTGTACCCTATGCAAAAAACCTCACAAAACACACTAGCGCCTTCATTTCAGGACTCGCGCGTCGTCTCCAGGAGCTCTATTCGTCCATTCTGCATTGGTTCCGCCCAAGGGTGTGTAGACTGAAGTGTATCTTTAATGTCTGACCACCCTCGCAATGGGTGAGGGCGGGCTCAGCGGGCCGTATGGGAATGTAGGGTCTAGGATTTTGCTGAGGATAGCCCCCACCAGCTCTTCCATGCCGGCCATGTTTGGAATCAGATGTCTTAGTACTCCTTTATGTCTTAAATGGCAATGTGGTCACCGCGGGCCGTTTCCCTCTACATCTGCTAGCGCGATGCTAGCGCCAACCTAGCGCATAGTTCGCCTCATGATTTAGATGTTTTGGCACGCTGGCAGTATGCATCTGGAGCAAACTCTCATGGACTCGAAAAAGGCTTGAGATCGGTCCTACAGATGCGGATTTCTTTCTTTCGCCAAGCCATGCCCTTGACGCCAGCTACCTGCCTTACAAGGCAAAAGGTTTTTGCGCACGCAAGCAGCCTCAGCTCATACCATGTCATCTTGGAGACCGTTACCATGGGCCTTTCAATACCTAGAGCCACACTAGCGCTATCCTAGCGCCTACACGGGGGAGAGCACGAAACTTGCGTATACGCATGGTGCCGCCTTGTAGCTAAGACTAAACCGGCCTTCAAAGAGCCACTGCTCAGTTTGCAAAGGGAGCCTTTGGTCTTCTCTGCAGCCCCTGGTCAGCTGCTAGCTGCAGAGATTGGTGGAGCAAGGCTGGAAGGCTTTTTCTGCTCCGCAGAGGGCGCTTTTCTAGCTGTCGCCCTTCGATTTGGAGCCCGAGCTGCAGCTTCGAGGCTACATGCCGCAGAATCAAATGTTTCTGACCAGTAGGAACCTGAAGCCTTAAAACCTTCACAGAAAAAACTCATGTCATTCAGCCCATCAGGCGGTCCTTGGCAGTTGAATCCCCTTTGGATTCATCTTCATCTGTGGCAACACCCTCCTCCACAACTACATTTGGAAGGAGACTCTCCAAAAGCTAGTTTCCGTTGTCAGGACATCTCTCCTCCAGTTGATCTACAAACTTCAACATGAACTCGCTGACATCCTGAGCAAAGAGTTGCAGAGCGAGGGGAGCGAGGGTAGCGTGGCAAGGAACTGACTTTGAAAAGCACTCAACACATGTCTTGGTCATCAGCGTCCTCCTGACCACCCACAGGCACCTGATGACCCTGAGGGTCAACAAGTTCATGAAGCAGCTGCGCAGGGCTGACGCAGCTGCGCTCAGACAGTTGGCCTCAGAATGGCGCTTGCAACACCTAACACCATAGCAGGACAAACAGGACTGACACATGTCACCATGGTGTGCTAGTTCCACTAAGATTTTGGCAGTATGCAAAGAGCTTTCTCAGCTCCAGCACCAGCTGCAAAGCATGTTCACGGCGACGTTCTGCGGCCATGCTAGCGACTGTGGGAACACCTTCCGAGGGACTGCATGTCAGTCCAAACTTTTATGTAACTTCGTCATCCCACCTCCTGGGGAATGCTCTTCTTCCAGTTTCGAGCCAGAAGGCCTGAACTTCAGCAGCTCATCCCGGAACTCTTCCGCGTGAAAGAGTGTCTGGAGCAAGGAGTTGACATAACCTAGGTCAGAAATGGTCAGAACGGCGATGGCTGCCCCTTGCAGCCGTACTGTGCACAGAGAGAAGCAGGTGTTCCCCACATTCAGCAGTCCGCACGGAAGCCCAGGTGGCCGTGGCATCTGCGGGGTCGGCACTATGTCCTGCAAAGCAAGCTTCCATTGGAAACAGCTGAAATCAGATCAGTTAACCAAAGCAGCAACCTGACCTCCAAGGACAAGTCCAAGGCCGCACCGAGGTCATCCTTTGTGTTGTCTAATCCAGGCGGCCCATCCGACTTGGCATAGCCAGATGTTGTGATTTGTTTCGGTAGTTCAGGCCAATCGTTATCAGTTGCGAGCGAAGTGTCGCCCAGGGGGCTGAAACGGTTGGCCTTGTCAGGCTTTGTCTCAACCTCTGGCTCAGGCTGCGTACCCGTCAGAAGAAGTTCAAGCGCCTGCTCGACATTGCCACCTGCTTCACGCAGGGCGATCTCTGCTTCTGGGTGGGCAAACCCCATGTCCACGAGCTGCTGAACATCTGCCATTGCTCAGCGGACCAGCCCAGAAACCAACTTGTAGATTCCTTGAACATCAACTTTGTCAGACGGTGAGTGATCAGGCCCAGCCAGCACCAAGCAGTCCGGCCGATGGCGACAGCCGTCTTCTAGCTGCAAACGCTTTGCTGACATCTTGCAGCCTTGTACCTCTACTTCTCAATACCAAAGCCTAGCAATCAGCCCCATGCATGGCCTTTGATTTTCCTACAGAAGCTTTTCCCGCCAGACGTCACCGTGCAAAGGTGCTTCGGCTCACTCCGACCTTGCTGAAAAGCGCATGACCTCTTGCCAAACACCTGTTGTGCAAATAAGCTGCGTTGAGCTTCGAGGAATCTTATGAGCCGGATCTTTGCCGGCGCGGCCTCTGCAATGCGATCACAAAAAGTCTCCATGGATGACGGCCCGTGCACTCACACAAGGCAACGAAGCGGCACAGATCCACCATGGAGACAAGAAGCTATGTGGTCACTGCATGCCAGAATGTGCACGGCTTGCGTTTGCAAATTGAGTGATCTGCACAACCATCAATTACAGCCTCTTGTTTTTGAAGAAGCAGGGGGTTGCGGTGGGCACAGCCCCAATTTGCCATCTAAATTATGAGCCGCACAACATTCCCCTACTGTAAACATGGTGTGGTGATAACATGATCTTTTATATTGCAGCATGGATGGCCTCACAAAAAGGGGGGTGTTGGGGAGGCGCATTAGCAAACTTAATGATCCGCAACACCTTCCTATACTGCAAACATGGTGCTTGACATGATGCTTATTGTTTGAAAGCATTGATTGTCTTAACAATGTCTTAACAAAGTGGGGGGGGGGGGGGGNNTCCCTCATTGCAAATATGGTGATGACATGATGCTTCTTGGAGTGGAGTTTGGTGAAGGGCGACTGAGAGCAATCTGGTCAACAAAAGCGGTATCACCTCCGGCCAAGGGGCTTAAGAACCAAACAGCAGCATAAGGGTTTGGGGCACCAGGGCCTGAAATAAAATTCAGGGATCAAGCCCTGACAGAGAGCTCGGCAACAAAGAAGTTGAGCTGCACTGCAAGAAGCCTAGTGAGAGTCCCACTGAAGAAAGACAAGCCCAGGGAACAAGCGCTGACAGAGGGCTCCACGAGGAAGTTGAGCTGCGCCAATGGGGGTCCCACTGAAACAGGAAAAATCCAGGGATCAAGCCCTGACAAAGAGGCCCGGCCAAGAAAAAGTTGAGCTTCGCTGAACCAGTGCGGACTGAAGGGATCAAGCCCTGACAAAGGGCTTGGCCACTAAGAAGTTTTGCACCCACGGGGGCTCAGCGCGCGTCCCACTGAAAGAGGAAAAACCAGAGATCAAGCTCCTGACAGGGCTCGGGCACGAAGAAGTTGAGCCGCGCCGCACCAGTAGGGGTCCCACTGAAAGAAGAAAAACCTCCAGCAATCAAGCCCTGACAAAGAGCGCGGCCACAGAGAAATTGAGCATCGCGGCACCAGTGGTTGTCCCGCTGAGAAAATAGGAGATGGAGGTAACAAGCCTGAAAACGGCACGGCCACACACTGCAAGACCTCAAAACAGCTGGGAGACTGCTCATCGGATTGCAACTTCGACTGGACCGGTCAAGCAAAGCAGATCTTAGTGTCGAGGTCCCAAGTAATAAGCTGGCCAAAGGGCGAGCATGACCCCCCCACGGGCCCAGGGGACATGATGCTTCTTTTTAACTGCAAACATGGATGAGCTTGAAGTAGTGCCCTGCCCGTTTGCAAACAAAACGATTCGCACAAACTGCCCTGTCTGCAAGCATGGTGATGATATGATGCTTTTGTCATCGCAAGCATGGCTGTATTCAAAAGAACAAAGGGGGGCTGGGGGCGTCCACTTGACGGCTCTTGCACTCTCAAATACTATATTATAAATGAGCAGTTGACTTTTCGCATTTTGTGCAAAGTAATCCCCAGCTGTCTCTCTCAAGCACTATTACCTGTGGGTGGCGGACGTCTCTTGATTTGACCACTGCCTATCTCTCACTCTCTCTCTCTCCCCGTTTCCTTCCCTGATCGAATCAGATTTCTCTTTGATTCTGGAGGGTTTGCATTTTGCGGATGGAAGATTTCTTGCATCACCCCATCAAGCATACATGACGGGAATTCTTATGCCTTTGGGGGACTTCGGAAGTGCGAGTTTTTTCCATGCGCTGCAGGTCGGTCATCTACTTGAGAGCCACAAGCTGGGACGAAAGCTCAATAGTGGTCAGGACTGGCGACACAGGACGTGAAGAGACGGACGATATACAACCAAAAAAGCACGCAGCCCAGCCCTCACTGCCCACCAAAAGAATTGCAACCCTCCTCCAAGATCCCTCCACGACCCCCCAAGATCCCCCCAAGATCACCCCAAGATGACCTGCAAGAATCTAGCCCAAAAAGGCCCTCCAAGCCAGGGCAGCTCAACCCCGCCCCCATGAGATTGGCCCGAGAGTGAACTACCTCAGTACAGTGTACAATGGACAGGCGAGCGGGCGTCTCTGTCCTTTTCCACTCTCTACGCGCACTCGAGTACCACCTCCCTAGAACCTTGAGAGCAGCAACAGCAACATGCGTTGCAGTTGTGTTACATGAACTGTATGGACTGATAGCAAAGCAACAGGAATGATGTTATTTCAATACGGCACATATTTACTTTCATGTTACATAAGTGTCCCGTTGGTCGGCTATCCAGCTATCGGTGTGAAACTGGACACATCTGCAAAAAGGCTAACCTACGGCTGGCAAGTGCAAAGCCCTTACTTACCATCTCGTGGAAGATGCCTAGGGCACACAGAAACCTGGCTTGGAGCTAAGCATTCCCATACCTCCTTGTCGAATGAGCCTTGGGTGGTTTTGCCTTTGACCTTGCCCTGGCCCTTCGAAGTGCCTTTGCCCTTGCCCTTCGGTTTGCCTCTTGTCGTGCCCTTCTGTTTCTGTTTCTATCCTGCTTGGTAGGGAAAGGCACAAATCTTCTCCGATCCCTCGCAATGGTGAGATTATGGCGGAGTGTGAAGTACAGGATGGTATGACTGTCCTTATCTTCAGGACCTAGGAACAAAGTTTCCAATCCAACATACATCATGAATTCACTGACCTTCACCTTGTATTCATACTCCGCTGAAGGATGCCCTGACCATTTGTCGATGGTCTGACGGTGGCCCCATTCAATAATGCATGCAACCATCTCCACTGGGATCCTCAGGGAGGTACTTTACTTCAAGCTCATTCCATGGGCGACCATAGCGCTCTTCAAACTTCAAAGTACCTGAGGTCCTCAGTGGTATTGCCTGAGGTGAATCTCAGTGTGGGACTGACTGCAAGATCGCCTCCTTGACACGAGACAAAGGCATCCCTAAACGACTTGGATGTCTGCTGAAAAAGGGACTGCTCATTGGAGTGCGATTGCTGCTTGCTACCCCCAAACCTATAAGTTGATGCATTACGATCGCCACATATGATATCAACCTGATAGTGGAAACAGTAAAGAAGCTCTCCACACAAGGCACGGCTGTCAGTGGCTGCTTAATTGTTGAATTTGAAGGACAACATGCAGACCACACCTGACAATTTTGTCTTTGGCAGGATTGTCCTCTCTGAGGAGCTCACGCTGGGCTTCCTTGTCGTGGCACCAGCCTGCCTTCTCCCAATCTTCACGTCGACATACCTCTTAATGGCGCGGGCGCCGGCAATGTGCTGAATGTAGGCACCAGGCCAAGGATTGGCCCTGACACCACACAGAAGCGTTTTGTCAGGGCTGGCGGCAGTCATCCAGCCACACTGCTCCACGACATCTCTCTCTCTCTCTCTCTCTCTGGCGAATGAAAACGGCCTCTTGCATAATGAGGACATGGGAACTGACGTTGGAGAGAAAATGCAGGAAAAGATTCCCACAAGTGGGGTGCTCAGCGCAAGTTGCACTCCAATCAATGAGATGATGGGAACACTGAGGTGTAGAGCGCTTTCTGGATCTCTCCCAGTGTCCTAAGCTCAGCACACTTGTCATGTCAATCACCGATTGACCTATGGATCAGGTGGACATGAATGGAACTGATCCATTACGAGAATTGCCACGGTACATGTTCCTGTGAAAAACCCTGTTTGCTTTTGACGCAATTTTTGCACGTGCTTTTCACTCAAACGTTGTATGTCTGGGCTGAAGCTACCTGTTGCAATGCCTGTCAC